AGAAACTGATATTCCTCGATGCCTCGATGCCTCGATGCCATGCCTGTTGTTGTTGTCGTTGTCGTTGCTGTTTGTTGCTCGGGGCAGGAATTCCGAGCATTTTCACAGTTATTCGAGGGTTGGCGGCGGCACGGCCAAAGGAAGCTTCGCTGGGATGTGGTCTCTGATAGCATCACAGTTGCTTTTTAATATCTTTTCAGCTAAATGGATACAAAACTTCAGAGGCGGGGGCCCTATCTGTGTTCGTACCCCGTACCCCGTACCCCCCATCCCACCCATCCCACCCATCCATGTGTGTGCGTTTTTCAATAGCAAAATTAAATTATAAGAATTTATATTGGCTGTGGGGCTTCTTTTGGGGCAACCAACGGAGTGTGATACATGGGTTTTTTCTTCCTTATACTCGTCTGTAGGGCTTTGAAATGATGGCTTCTCGTGTAAAGTCACGTTTTAAGAAAAAACAAAGTTTATTGGGAGTCGAATAAACCTCCAAATCCAAGGAAAATGCATTTAATCATTCGAAAAGTAACAATTGGATAGTGTACCTTGCCTTTGGGTGTAGTTCATGGACCAATATAATTGTCTACAATGTTTGATAATTCAAATTAATATTTTCCAAAAATAAAATATCGAAAAGTTCGAATCTTCAAGCACATATTAAGTGGTTGGGTACTCACAAAATGAATTATTATGATTTGATTTAATTATTAAACTTTAACCTCTCTCTGGCTGTAGTTTTATTCTCCCAAGAAGGAGGAAGGGAAGTGGGTCTTAAAAATAGGTCCGTTCAAAAGAGAGACAAATACAAGTTTCACTGGCAATAATACAAATATTCAACTACAAAATAAAACAGTTCTTAGTGCCCTGATACCCGTCGGACTTCTAAATATACTTTATTTAAGAGAGAACACAGAAAAAACAGCATAAGAAGCTTCTATGACTCTATTTCCATTTACAAAGTACAAACTTGCATCAATCTATGAATCATTTCTAGTCCTGAAACTGAGTAACTTCCATGGAACCGTTTCTTCCAGGTTTCGGGGAATGGTTGTTGTCTTCTGACAACCGAAGCGACGGCATTTGCAGGCCCAAGATGTGGTTCCATCCAAAACCAGTTTCGCGAGCAGAACACGAGTTGAAGATACGAAGTGGAACCCTATGGATACACGCCTCCTGGTCTTGGCCTTTTTATACTTGCCACATGGGGCAAGTATCGCCACCACAGCCAATTGAAACCGACGTTCGTTCAGGCCGCCACCAATCACGAGACAGCTGTTCCGAAGATACTCCGCCAGCCAATCGGAAACGAGTGGAAGCAATCGTTGCGAGCGTGAGTGAGAGGAAAGTATCTGCTCGTAAGTATTCGACGGATACGAGTAGCTCTACGTGCCATGCTACATGCCATGTAGAGTGGCATGCGAAAGCTCACGAAAGCTCCACAAAGTGAAGCATACGATGGGGATTTGTTGGGGATCGGATCCGATCTGCAAAACAGTTGAGTCGCCACAGAAGGCAGCCTTCGATTGCAGTTGCAGATTCAATAGCAGAGCTGAATCCCGAGGGACTTGCTATGCCCAATTACGCATTTGAATTCACGTTTCCTGATGGATCTTTATCTCTATAACTTGCTTGTATAAGATATCGCTGCTCATTTATTTTACGGTACTCTCCTTATCCACTTGCAGCATTGCACTCACTTTAATCTGCGCACTCTTTGCTCCAGCTTTCTTCCAGAGGCTGGAACCCCTTCAAGGGGAAAAGTCTGGCCAACGACCTCTGGTAAAATAAAATATATATACATATGTATATACCTCCTGCCTTCCCTGGGATAGTCGGAATAAATATTCAAAAAGGCTTTGCTGTTGGCTTGAGTTTTTAATGAATCAAAGTTGGATTTGTGACTGATGGAATATAAATTATGTGACCGAAATACAGAAGCTAACAACTACAAGGCGGTCGAGGCGCCCGCTTAGGCCCGGACGAGGACCTCGTAGGCGTCTAGGCGCACCTCATCGCCGCCGAAGGGGATGTACAGGCAGCGATGGGAGGGATGGATCTTGCCGGGAGTCAGGCTGCCGGCGTGGTAGCCACGGCCAATGTACAGGCTCTCGCCTTCGGAGGTGCGGCCGCAGACGATGGCATTTGGTGGCACATTGCCAAAGCTGTCTGGAACCCAGCCATAGCCGTAACCGGCCAGCAGCTCAAAGTCGTGCTTGACGTGCTCGGAGCCGCCGAATGCCACATAGGCGCAGCCCTTGCTGGGAACGACCTGCAAGCGAACGAGGAAAGGCATAAGGCATAAAGGATGTGCATGTGGATTGCTACTCGCTTAGCTTAGGAGCGTAGGAGCTGACTGTGTCGTACCTTGGCTGGCAGCAAGTCGCCTTCGTGGTAGGCGCGGCCCACATAGATTTGATCGCCATCGGCATCGTGACCGCCCTGCACTGTTCCGGGCACGATATGGCCGCCGGAGGAAGAGATCCAGGTCTCCGGCTGGACCAGCACTTCGTACGCCTCCAGGCTGTGCTGCAAGGAGAGAGGGCAAGGGAGACGTAAGTGGATGTGGACACCACTCGTTCCGAGTCGAATGCGGAATAGTTACCTCCTTGCCGCCGAAGGGAATGTAGAGGCAGTGGTGCGAGGGATGCACCTTGCCGGGCGTCAGGCTGCCCTGGAAGTAGCCGCGGCCAATGAACAGAGGCTCCCCGTCGGAGGTCTGACCCACGCGGATGGCATGGGGAGGCACGTGGCCGCCGCTGGATGGGATCCAGACGTAGTGGTCGCCCGTTAGGATCTCGACATCGTGCTTGTTGATCTCCTCGCCGCCCCAGGCGACATAAGCCTGGTTCTTGTTGGGAATAACCTTGGCCGGCAGCATGTCCCCGTTGTGGTAGGCGCGGCCCACGTAGATGGGATCATTGTCCGAGTCGTGGCCGGCGACGATGGCGCAGGGCGGCAGCTGGTCGAAGACGTTGCGGCTGATCCAGGTGTGGTCTGCAAGGGGGGAAGATGTGGCTCAAGGTTAGACCTGACGCTTGTCTAGAATCTAGATATATGTATATATATATATATATTCAACTGATTACAGTCCAGCAGTCGAAGCACTGCTGATGTGTACAGTTGCAGACTGTGCCTCACCACACCACACCACACCACAGCACAGCACACCTGACACATTAATCACTAGAACTTGGTGGTCGCTTATCTAACTGGGTGTGAAATCGCAAGATCCCGTAGCTCCAGGGGATTTTCACTGTCAGCTGAACTTGGTATCGATGGGTCTTCGGCACTTGTTCAGCCGGTTAATTGCAGAGCACTTTTCGCTGGAAATCTACCAGCGTCCGTCCACCTACCCATTGTTTGTGTGTGTTGACTGTTGTGGGATTATTCTTCAAGGAGAGAGCGTAGGGACCGTGCTGTACGGGCTGACTTTAGTGACTGGCTAGCAGTCGTGGCGGGTGTTGCGCTTTAAAAGCTGTTTGCTGCCGCTGGGTGATGGGTGGTGGGTGGGCTAGTCGTCTGCTCTGCCTCTTGCTCCCTTATCGGTCGGCAATGTTAACCGACTTTGATAAGATATCTTAGTCAAAGCTATAGGGCCGCGCAGTCGGTCGGTCCGTCGGTCGGTCGTTCGCTGTGTCACAGCGAGTGGTTTTATGGAAAAAACTGTGTAATGTAAGGGGATCTTCCAGCTCCTTCAAGGCACCCACCAACAGTCACGTCAGTCACACAGTGCAAACCGAAACGGGAAGCAGTCATTAGTCAATCCGTCTAAATATATATTGTATGTATATATTTGTGTGTGATGCAAGGCCCTTATCTATGAGCGATTGGCCACGCCAGAGGCCAGAGGTAGAGCCAGAGGTAGAGCCAGAGGTAGAGGAATCTTATCGCCGTTAGTCAAAAATAACTTTGATCAATAAGCTCGTAAAGTGTACACCTCTCGATATGAACACGTATACACATGTCCGTGCCACAGGAACGGAACGCAACGGAACGCAACGGAACCCAACCCAACCCTGAACTCCTATCTTACCCTCAGATCTATACTCACAGTCGTCCATTTCGTAGGATTGCATTGGGGGAATTAATTTTGAAGCTTGGGAGAGCCAAAAGGGTATGAGCAGAGTATAACCAAAGTCGGTTAGTTCTGTGGCTAGTTATGTATTGCACATCTGGATTTTGGATATCTGTTCTAAGGATCCAAGTAAGGGAAGTGTTGGGATTTTAAACTGATTTCGACTTAGCCATAAGGAAAAAGCCAACTTTCTGACTGCTTTCCTTGGGGAATCATAATACACAGCTAAAGATATCTATACCTATTCTTTATGGCTACTCGATAATACCCTGTGGAGGTTCAAAGTTAGCTTATAATCCATTCCGTTGGAATATGCTTCCTTGTGCTATATGAATGCGTCATCTTTCGTCACAGAATAACTGAAGTTTATATACATATCTGTATATATAGATATGTATGTATATATATGCCTGTACAATGTACAGGAATTTTAACAATAAAACAATTGTTTCGCACCTTTTTCTTCTAGATGGGGAGGCTAATCAACTCTTTCGGAATATTGTTTTGGGGGGTTTTTCGACATATGTATCTGCTGACTGGCAGGCGTCATATTGTTTTATGGATTCAATGAAATGGAGCACCTGCTTTCGCTTTTTATTGTAACTATACTCCTGGCCTCTCGCCTGGCCCGACACATGACTCATTCCCAGACAAAATATGTGATAAATGTGTGAGCTTTCCCAGTACATTCGCTGGAACAGAAAAACAGAGATATCGAAGCGTAGAAATCAAGGCCTCAATATCAATATACCCACATGCATATGTGTATGTGTACACACACAGATACTACCTACCCCATATGGGGTAGCTGGAGCCCAAAAGCTCGTTGATAAGAAAATGGATGAATCAACTTGGCTGGGGCGCAGTTTTAACGACACGCCGCTGCTGACCAATCTGTCAGTGGAAAAACAAACCTCAAGCCGTGCAGTCGCGTACATATACCAGATAAAATATCGTAATTTATACAAAGGATTCTCATACGTACCACAGCACACCCACAGAATATCGAAATGGGTAAGTTGCATGGGAAGTTGGGTCGCATATCGGTTGAATGTTTGGATCCAAGTCGAGAAGTCGAGAAGTCCACTCCCAGCAGATCTGTGTCTGACTTGAGTACATTTCTCTCCCCTTTGGTTCTCCGCTTTTCTTTGCACTCTTGCAGGCGCCGTGCAGCCAGGAGCAGTTGTGAGCATTGGTAGGACGAGTGCGCCGCGTCAGCCCAGCCCAGCCCAGGGAGAGTCTAATTCGTAGAATATCTAGAAACTTCCCAACCAAGTACCCAACCAGTCCGCAAATCCGTATAGAACTAACGAAAAAGAACCGAGTGTTATCTTATCGCGCAGTCAATGCTTATCGGTTCCTCTGGTCCTCTCCTTGCAGAACACACCTGGGTGCACTCGACTCCATACGCCGCACTGCCCCCGTACGCTGTCATCGGTGGCCACGACTCCGACCGCAGCCCCATCTATGTGGGCCGATCCTTCCACGAGGGCGAGAACCTGCCCGCCAAGGTTATTCCCAGCAAGGGCTGTGCCTACGTCGCCTACGGCGGAGCGGAGCACTCCAAGACCCACTACGAGGTGCTGGTCGGACAGGGCTTCGCCTGGGTGCCCAGCTGCAGCGGCGGTGTGCCACCCAATGCTGTGCGCAGCGGCACCACACGCACCGGGGAGCCGCTCTACGTGGGTCGCGGCCACCATGCCGGCAGCTTGAGCGTCGGAAAGGTGCATCCGTCGCACGGCTGCCTCTACATCCCCTTTGGCGGCCAGGAGGTGCGCATCAACACCTATGAAGTGCTCATCTACCAGCAGCAGGACGTTTGGGTTCCGGCCTCTCCGGCCTACACTCCGCCCGGAGCCGTTGTCGCTGGCCACGACTCGGACCGGACTCCCATATACGCCGGACGGGCCAATCACGAGGGCGAGATGCTCCCGGCCAAGGTGGTTCCGAGCAAGGGATGCGCCTACGTCTGCTACGGTGGCTACGAGTTCCAGAAGCCCACGTACGAGGTGCTCACCGGCTACGGATACGTCTGGGTGCATGTCCACCATCACGGCATTCCGCCCAATGCTGTGTCCACGGGTCGCGCCCGCAACGGAGATCCCATCTACTTCGGACGCGGACACCATCAGGGCAGCCTGACCCCGGGTCTGATCTCGTCGCGCCAGCGCTGCCTCTACATCCCGTACGGCGGCCGGGAGATTCGTCTCGACTCCTACGAGGTGCTCTGCAGGCAGTGAATGCCGGAGTGAGTCCCGGAGCGGAGTCGATGAGCCACCACCCACCACCCACCACCCACTGCATTTAGCATTGATCAACGTTCAAACGTAAACCCTGTAATCGAGTATTACCTACCCAATAAAATCCAATCTTTGCCAACCCAAACGAAAACCCCGGTGTCGTGTCTTCCTTCTCCTACTACTACTACTACTCCGTACTAGCACTAACCCCGCCGCACTTTCCTCCCCCGTTTCAGCCTACAAATGGGTGCAGTCCTCGGCCTACTCCTCCATCCCCGAGGACGCTGTGGTGGGCGGAAACGACGAGGACGGAGCTATGATATACGTGGGTCGGGCCGAGCACGACGGCGACATGATGGTCTGCAAGGTTGTGCCCTCCAAGCAGATCGGCTTCATCTCCGACCGCGGCGAGGCGCTGCCCAAGGACATCTTCGAGATGCTGTGTGGCCAGAACCTGGTCTGGGTGAAATGCTATGACCACGTGATACCCGAGACGGCCGTGCTGTGCGGACGCAGCTCTCTGGACCAGCCCGTCTACATCGGACGCGGCCACTACGAGGGTCACCTGATCATCGGCAAGATATCCTCCGTCCATCGGGCTCTCTTCATCGCCTACCGCGGAGCCGAACGCCGCCTGGACTCGTACGAGATCCTTGTGGAGGAGAGGAGGGTTGTGCCCGGCTGGCAGTTGCCGCCGCCTCCGCCACCAGAGGAGCTGGAAAAGTGTCCTCTCACACCGCCGCCGCCGCCGTCTCCACCTGCACCTGCACCCGCTCCGCCTGTGGCCGAGAAGCCGTATCCGTATCCGCATCTGGCCGCAATGCCGTTCCCAATGGCCGACAGGCCACCACCTTATACACCCACGACCGACCCTCTGCCGCCGGTGGGCGGAATTCTGGTAATGCCACGCCCCACACATGCACCGCCACCGGGAGGCGTTTTTGTGATGCCACCTGTCCAGCCGCAGCCGCAGCCCCAGCCCCAGCCACCACCAACACCCTCGTTCTACCCCGCTGAAGTCGCTTCAGCCGGAATCGTCGCCGGACCATCGTTCACACCAGCGGAGACGTACAGGCCAGGATTCGTACAGGATTCCTACGGAGCTGCTGGCTACACTCCGGCCGAGTACGCGCCACCGCCGGCATACGAAGTGTTCCCCTCCTCCTCCTACGGCTACGAAAACAACTACGACGTCTGGGTGACGGCAGAGCCGGGCTACTTCTACGCTTCTGATGCCGTCATCGGAGGCCACGACAGCAACATGGCGCAGCTGCTCGTCTGCCGCGCCTACTATGCGGGTGTCCACGTTCCGGGCAAGGCAGTGCCCAGCCAGGGATGTGCGTACATCGCACACGGTGGACGCGAGATCGTGGAGCCCACGTACCAGGTGCTGCTCGGACAGGGAAAGTATCACTGGGTGCGCGCCTACGAGGGCAACATTGCCCCCGGCGCCGTGATGGCGGGTCGTGCGCCCGGTGGCGAGCCACTCTACATTGGACGCGCCCACTACTGTGGCAGTCTGACGCCCGGAGTGCTGCAACAGTCCAACCGCTGCCTGCAGATCCCGTTCGGTGGCCAGGAGATCCGCATCAGCAGCTACGAGGTGCTGGTCCGCAGTGACCTCTACCATAGCCAGCAGGCCATCCGCCTGGTCTACTGAGCATCGATATCGATTGAAAAGCGAAACTACCGAAACGAGAGCAGCTATCTCTGAATACCTCTGTATACCAAAGGATCCAACATATTTACCTTGCTTTGCCCTTTTACTTGCTACATACGTACATAATATATTTATCTATTTATGCGAATAATGTTGGTCTACTTGTGCACTAATTATATTCATTCACCCTTGGAGTTTTACTTACTGCTGTTTTACTGAGTCTTGCGATTTTTATTTGGGTATCCGAATCATTAGTGCACTGATTTAATGATTTAATGGGAACATGAATTTAATTTGCGTTGCTGCTTAAAAAAAGAAATGCGAATATCTAGATTTTGTATCACAATTATGGCTGTAATCACAAATATTCATACATACATATATTGATAATATTATCAGTCTGAAGAATGGATATCAGTAGATAAACTTAAACTTTGAACGTCACTTTAGTTCGTCCGATATTGGAGTATTCTTATTGAATCAGTTCAAAAAAAATGTTTAATCTTTGCCCTTAGGAATCTGAACTGGGACTCTGGCAGACTCTTACCACCATACCGATCTAGGCTTAAGCTTCTCGATCTTCCCTCATTAAACCATCGCAGAATTGGCAATGGGGTGATGTTTATACATAAGCTTATTGTCGGGTCTGTTGACTCCCAAACACTTTTAGGAAAGATAGATTTCGCAGTTCCATCCAGACCAACCCGTACTTTCCGACCTATCCGATTACCCTTGTGTAGGTCTAACTACGTCCAACATGAACCGTTTCACGTTTTATGTAATAGTTATAATTCCCTTTACAATATTATATCCCCTGAAATATCCCTTAACATCTTGCTACAAAATAATTACTATCATCTAGATTTAGCGAATTTGTAATTTTAATTTGTATTTATTTTATCATTATTTATTTTTATCCTAGTCCATAATTAGCAAATCATTTTTAATAAATACCCCCAAACAATTGCTGCACCTTTTCATTCAACCATTCACAACCAGTAATTAATGGTTCCGTAGGTAATGCAAGTTCACGTCCCTTGATAGAAAATACTAGAAGGACAGAAAGAACTTTCAAATAAGTTACACACTCACATCAAGTCACACAATCATCCAAATAATAATCACACGCATTAATAACAAAGCACTCTACAAAAAAACACTCAATAAAGAAATTGCTTGTTCGGCAAGTTCAGAAAAGTTTCGTTGAAAATACTCCACAAAAATATCGATATTATTAAAAATAACTCACTTAAAAGTATATCACCGCTAGCTTTCTGAGCAACATTTTTAATTTTCGCAGTTGTTGGCGCGAAATTATAAATCGTAAAAAGCGTCGCCAAGCTGTTTGAATGATAAACGAAAATGTTATGAAGCCTAAAAAAACAGACGGATACGACAACAAATAATAAAAACAGCAATAGCCAATAGATAAAATGGGAATTATAAATGTTAAACAAGCCGATTTGGAATTGGTTAAAACTAACAGCAAAATTTAAAAATATCGGGGAAGAATATACTCGTAACTCGTAACTCTTTCAAAATGCAGCTCATGATCATTCCAAAAAGACTTGTTATTAACAAAGATTTCTTTAAACGGATTGGGGTTTTTATTTATCAACGACATAAGTCGCAGGGATGCAGAAAATGAATGTGCGTCTGCGTCACTGGAAAAAGTGGGAGAGTTACCACTTATATAAATAATAAACAGAAGTATTCTTTGGATAGAATAAATATTGCCGCTGGAGATTTGTTTATCATGTTGGTGATATCTTTATTGGGAAAATAATCTACATAAAAAAGTATTTGGAACTTCCCAGGGGTCAGTTGGGTCTCAGGTGGTCTCTGGTTGCAGCTGTGAAAGCTCGAAAGGCATATACTAAATACTACATCCGCATGACCTCGTTGAATATTACACAGTTTGTGTTTGATGTAGATCGTTGACGTTCGTTAATGCTTTAAATTGATTGGGATTTGGGGAGTCTAAAGCTCTGCTACAGAGCTTATCTCTCTCAAAACTCTTGAGAGGCGGAGATTTCTTTGCGCGTAAACGGATCGTGGCATACTAATTAAGAATATAGGGGTCGCTGCTAACATAAGCTCTCAAAAGAATAATGTCTCCAACACAACACAGAGCCAAATAAAAAGTCAGACAAATAATTCAAATAAAGGCAAATACAGACACGCTTTCCTCTCATTGTAAATTCGCTGCTGTTTGTCCAATATATTACCCATACCCATACCCATCTCTATAAACATAAACATCCACACGTCTCGTCACGAATCGGAAGTTCGTTCGTTCGTTCATTCGTTCATTCGTTCGTTCGGTAGAAACAGAGAACATCACAATGGCCATAACCATAACCTGGCACAAAGGAAATACAAAACAAACCCGATTATTTTACGCCAAGACGGCAAGTGGTCGAAAGAGAGCTAGACTAGACCTTGTTGTGGCAATTATCTATCCGATTTGCCTTGTCTAAATTGCGACAATTTATGTCTATCTAGCCCGTAAAGAGTACGCACATCTCCGCATTGAATATACAATGTTCTGTGTGGAAAAGGTATAAGCGTATAATTTTTATTAAGGTTTGATAGTACAATAAACAGTTCTTACACTTAAAGATTAGATTCCGTTTTATTTGTGGGGGAAAATTTTCGAAAACATCTCTCAAGTGTTGCCAATAATGGTGAAATAATCAAACTAAATCAACTGATTGTCAGAGGCAGTCTGTATGGCACACGTGGGAATGCCTTTACGCATCCGCAGGTATTCCACAGAACACCTGACAAACGGATGAATCACGGTTTTCGCACGCGATACAGATTTCGTCTCGGTTAGTCCCCCGATGTTGAGAGTTCTGCTTAAACGATCTCAAGGGGGGAAATCCATGCACGCAAATGGAATTGGAACTGACAGACTGGAATTGGAATAAGTAGTCGCTTGCTCCCAGCTCAGCTCAGCTCAGCTCGGCCCAGCCCAGCCCAACCCAGCCTCCTCCTCTGCAGACTGCATGCGGGTGCGGGTTTGTTTAGAGTGGGTAAACAAAACACACAAAGGCAAACAGGTTATGCCACCGAGAAGCACAGAACGAACCGAACCAAGCCGAACCAAACCAAGCCGAACCGAGCAGAGCAGAGTCGTCTATCGGAGTCTATCTAATCTGCATGCAACGAGGGCTATAATCACTTGTCGAACTTAATGTTTGGCCTGAAATTGTTTACCAGTCAGGACAGAACAAGGAATGAGTGTTGCTCCCCCAATTGGAGCGCGTCCGACGTCCGTCGGTTGCCAGGGGGAGCACCGATTAAAATATACGATCGTGTTTATTGCTGTCGCCGATGTCGAACCGAGATCTGAAACCGAGCTGTCGTCGCAACCAATTGAATGCAGAGTCGTCCAGTTCAAATCGCGCGCTCGCTGGCCACAGACGCCAGCCTCCAACTCTGCTCTTGCTCTTGCACTTGACCAAGTGATATACAGTCTGCTCTGGCCATTATCGTATCAGAGGTACAGAACGTGAATCGAATCGAATCGTACCGTCGCGTCCTATCATTCCGTCGTTGATTGCCGTCCAAAAAATCAGCACGTGCTGCGTAAGTGTCCAAATTAGGGAACGAAATCTCTGAGGAGTGTGTGTGTGTGTGTGTGTGTGTGCAATCTGGAAAAATCATATACCATATAAATTGTTCATGTACATATATCTGTCTAGAGTTGAGACCATAGAATCTAGACTCCAGAGGAGAATGTGAAGCAGTGCGCGTACATCGACAATTGTCAATTGAGAATCGTAATGAACGGGAAAATATACCCACTTTCCAATTGTTGTTAATTTATTAATATATGGATGCTTTTTTATTTGCGCAATCAAACTAATTTTCATAAATTGACTTGGGAAAATGGTTTTTACTTTTTAATCAGCCCCAGCCCTTGCACTTTATCTGTGCTCGTGTTTCACATCAATATATATTGGTGTATAGTATATATTTAATCAATATGTATATTCGATATGAATAAATCAAGTAGTAGATACATTAATGAATAATTACAGAACTCAATTGGAATCCAAGTATTTCTGCGCCTTAAATAATGTAAATTTCACAATAAAATTATTATTATTTTCGGATATATTCAATATCGAAGATGGCATTTAAATTTTGTAGTTAATTCAAGAAAGGTCTCTCTAATTCGAATTATTATGCATAAACTCAATGAAAGTGTCATTAGCAGTGGCGGAGTAATTAATTTCTTTGACTTGCAGACCAACCAAATATATATACTTATACTTTTTACAATGGCCAGCCAATACCATATAATTGTTGCAATAAATCCTAAATTGGTTTCTCTGCAAGGTAGTACTTGCTTTACAGTGCCATTTATTGCTCTTTTGGCTCGAGAATATTTTGAGGTACATATGCTCGTATTTTGGGGTCACTGACCCATTCAAGCGATTACTCACTGGACCACCATTATTTAAACGACAACCTCCGAATAATTACCCAACTCTATAACAACAAAAAATAAGTGTTTGTTAGCTTTTTGAACCACGAACGAATCCCCTTGCTTACAGGTTTAAGTTGGAATTGTCCGCAGCAACAAAATGGATCTCAAAGAAACGAAAAAGGAGGAGTCGCAGCTGCCCCAAGTGGGTGATTTCCTGGCACAGAAGGGGCAGGGAGCTGCTGCCCAGGAAAAGACAGAAATTAAGTACAGCTACCTGGATATGGTGAGTCTGCGATGCTCGCTCAGCTTACAAATGGAATCCTTCATTTGCGAGTTTCGTTGTCGTTCTCGTTCTCCGATCTGCAGTTTAGATACTCGACCAGCTGCGAGCGAGCACTGATGGGATTCAGCATCGTGCTGGCCGCCGTGGCATCGGCATTTATTCCGTTCTTCATGATCATCTACGGAGAGTTCACATCCCTGCTGGTCGACCGCACAGTGAGAGTGGGCGCTTCCTCGCCCACATTTGCGCTGGCCATGTTTGGGGGCGGAAAGCGACTGTAAGTCCGGCCAAGTAGTCCCGCGGGGGCACAGGAGCAGTGCTAATCCAGCTTAACTCGGTTGCAGGTCGAATGCCAGCAAGGAGGAGAATCAGCAGGCCATCATCGACGACTCGATCGCCTTCGGTGTGGGAAGTCTCGTGGGATCGGTGGCCATGTTCGTGCTCATCACCCTAGCCGTTGACATTGCCAATCGGGTGGCGCTAAAGCAGATCGTCCGCATCCGCAAGGTGTTCCTGGAGGCCATGCTGCGACAGGACATTACGTGGTACGACACCACCTCTGGCACCAACTTCGCCAGCAAGATGACAGAGTAAGTCACAACTCATCCGAATCGAAGCTCACACCTGACTGTTCGGACTGTTCCGACTATTCCGACTATTCCGACTGTTTTTCAGGGATCTGGACAAGCTGAAGGAGGGAATCGGCGAGAAGGTGGTGATAGTCACCTTTCTGTTCATGACATTCGTCGTTGGCATCATTGCATCCTTCCTGTACGGCTGGGGCCTCACACTGGTGATTGTCGGCTGCTGCCCCTTGATCATCATCGCCACCACGGTGGTGGGCAAGCTGCAAGGATCCCTCGCCGAAAAGGAGCTCAGGGCCTACTCCAACGCCAGCAATGTGGCCGAGGAGGTGTTCAGCGGTATCCGCACGGTGTTCGCCTTTAGCGGCCAAAAGAAGGAGCAGGAGCGCTTCGGGAAGCTGCTGCTGCCGGCCGAGGCCACCGGCCGCAAGAAGGGGCTCTACACGGGCCTGGGCAGTGCCGCCACCTGGCTGATCATCTACCTTTGCATGGCCCTGGCCATCTGGTACGGCTCGAAGCTCATTCTGGAGGATCGCAATCTCGAGGACCGGCAGTACACTCCGGCTGTGCTTGTCATCGTTTTGTTTGCCGTCATCATGGGGGCACAGAACCTCGGATTCGCCTCGCCGCACGTCGACTCGATGGCAGTGGCCACGGCCGCCGGACAGAACCTCTTCAGCATCATCGATCGCCAGTCCCAGATCGATCCCATGGTCGAGGTGGGGGCCAAGCCAGAGAGCATCACGGGACGCATCCGCTTCGAGAACATTCACTTCCGCTACCCCGCCCGACCAGACGTCGAAATCCTCAAGGGCCTCACAGTGGACGTGGAGCCGGGCCAGACGGTGGCCTTCGTGGGTGCCTCGGGCTGCGGCAAGAGCACGCTGATCCAGCTGATGCAGCGGTTCTACGACCCCGAGCAGGGGAGCGTCAAACTGGATGGACGGGATCTGCGCTCTTTGAATGTTGGCTGGCTGCGGTCGCAGATCGGCATCGTGGGCCAGGAACCGGTTCTGTTTGCCACCACCATCGGCGAGAACATCCGCTACTCGCACCCGGAAGCCACGCAGGCGGACATAGAGCGGGCGGCACGGGCCGCCAACTGTCACGACTTCATCAGCAAACTGCCCAAGGGCTACGAGACCCAAGTGGGCGAGAAGGGCGCCCAGATCTCGGGCGGGCAGAAGCAGCGCATCGCCATTGCCAGGGCACTGGTGCGCAAGCCGCAGATCCTGCTGCTGGATGAGGCAACCTCCGCACTGGATCCCACATCCGAGAAGCGGGTGCAGAGCGCCCTCGAGCTGGCCAGCCAGGGACCCACAACTCTGGTGGTGGCCCACCGCCTATCGACCATCACGAATGCCGACAAGATTGTGTTCGTTAAGAACGGAGTGTTGGCCGAGCAGGGCACCCACGACGAGCTGATGCAGCAGCGTGGCCTGTACTCCGAGCTGGTGAACATTACCCGGCGGAAGGAGACCACCGAGGAGGAGGAGAGCGGCGACAGAGCTCTGCAACAGGCACAGGACCTCTCCGAAGAGGAGGACGGCGAAACCGATGACGAGGAGCCAGAACTGGAAGCGGGCACCAGCAGGGAAAGTGGATTCAGCCGCGCCAGCACCCGACGCAAGCGTAAGTACAGGAACGAGTTGTGCCGGTCCCCGTCCCCGTCCCCACAGGATAACCAGGAAACTTCCATTTTGCAGGTCGCTCGCAACGTCGCAGCAAGAAGCAGAAGCAGAAGCCGGAGGCTCCCAAGTTTTCCTTCGTGCAGCTGATGAGGCTGAATGCGCCCGAGTGGCGCTACATTGTGGTCGGATGCATTGCCTCGGTCTTGCATGGCGCCACCTTCCCGCTGTGGGGCCTTTTCTTCGGCGACTTCTTCGGCGTGCTCTCCAACGGAGACGACGACGCGGTGCGAGCCGAGGTCATCAATATCTCGTGCATCTTCATCGGCATCGGCGTGCTGGCCGGACTGGGGACGATGCTGCAGACGTACATGTTCACTACGGCGGGAGTGAAGATGACCACGAGGCTGAGGAACATGGCGTTTGGGACAATTTTGGCCCAGGACATTGCCTACTTTGACACTGAGCGGAACGCGGTGGGTGCGCTGTGCTCCCGCCTGGCCAGCGACTGCTCCAACGTACAGGGGGTAAGTTAGGACGCAGGACGTGTGGCTGGGGTATCCTGCTAATCCTCCCAATCCTTCCGATCCTCACGTGGTTACAGGCAACCGGTGCTCGCGTTGGCGTCATGCTGCAAGCCGTCTCCACTTTGGTCATCGGCATGGTCGTGGGCTTCGTCTTCTCCTGGCAGCAGACGCTGCTCACGCTGGTCACCCTGCCGCTGGTCTGTCTGTCGGTGTACCTGGAGGGTCGCTTCATCATGAAGAGCGCCCAGTCAGCCAAGGCGGCCGTCGAGGAGGCGTCCCAGGTGGCTGTGGAGGCGATAACCAACATCCGGACTGTGAACGGACTGAACCTTGAGCGACGCATTCTGGACACCTACGTCCAGCAGATCGACAACGTGGATGTCGCCTGTCGTCGCAAGATTCGTTTCCGTGGAGTGGTCTTTGCACTCGGACAAGCCGCTCCCTTCCTGGCCTACGGAATCTCCATGTATTACGGTGGGCTGCTCGTGGCCGAGGAGGCTATCAATTACGAGGACATTATCAAGGTTGCGGAAGCCCTGATCTTCGGCTCTTGGATGCTGGGCCAGGCATTGGCGTATGCCCCGAACGTGAACGATGCCATCCTGTCCGCTGGCCGCCTCATGGAGCTGTTTAAGAGCAATTCCACCCAGCCCAATCCGCCAGAGAATCCCTACAACACAGTGGAGGTGAGTCCCGTTGCTGCCGCTTCCCTTTCCCTTTCCCTTTGTCACGGATTCTCACATCTTGTTTTGTTGCTCTTCCAGAAATCCGAGGGAGACATTGTGTACGAGAACGTGGGCTTCGAGTATCCGACCAGGAAGGGCACTCCCATACTGCAGGGCCTGAATCTCACCATCAAGAAGTCGACGACTGTGGCTCTTGTGGGTCCGTCCGGGTCTGGCAAGTCCACGTGCGTGCAGCTGCTGCTTCGCTACTATGACCCCGTCTCCGGATCGGTGAATCTCAGTGGAGTGCCGAGCACAGATTTCCCACTGGACACGCTGCGGTCCAAGCTGGGCCTGGTCTCGCAGGAACCAGTGCTCTTTGACCGCACAATTGCCGAGAACATTGCGTACGGAAACAACTTCCGGGACGAGGTGCCCATGCAGGAGATCCTCGAGGCTGCCAAGAAGTCCAACATTCATAACTTCGTCAGCTCCCTGCCGCAGGGTTACGAGACGCGGCTGGGCAAGTCGTCGCAGCTGTCTGGCGGCCAGAAGCAGCGCATCGCCATTGCTCGGGCTCTGGTGAGGAATCCGAAGATTCTGATACTCGACGAGGCCACCTCTGCGCTGGATCTGGAGAGCGAGAAGGTGGTTCAGCAGGCGCTGGATGAGGCTCGTTCTGGGCGTACCTGCCTCACGATTGCCCATCGTCTGACCACGGTGCGGAATGCCGACTTAATTTGCGTCCTCAAGCGCGGCGTTGTCGTGGAGCATGGCACGCATGACGAGCTGATGGCTCTGAATCGCATATACGCCAATCTCTACCTGATGCAGCAAGTGGCGGGATAACACATTATTATTTAGTATGTAGATTAGAGTAAGAGGACATGTTGAGTACCTTAGATTCGAATAGAATACATAAACAGATAAGCTACGAAGTAGACTTGCTAGCATCGAGCCTGGATGGGAAAGGGGAAACGTTTTAAAAGGGGGATGTCCTCTGAATACCTCCCTTACTTGAAGGAAGTTTTTCCGAGTTAGTAGGCCAGTCCTTGATCTGTCACTGACTACAGAGCTGGGCCACACTACACACAATGTATGGAAATGATATTTCGACCGAGCAGGCACACGAGCAGCCCCCCTTGCACATTCAAGGACACCCATTGAGCCAGTGGCACAGGTCGGAGGCAGTGGTTGGATCTGCACCCATTCCGGCAGCAGCTTCTGGCCTTCTGCCTAACAGTTCGGAAGTTGGGATGCTGAGGAATTCCTCATTGCAATATGCGGATAACACATCGAATGCTGAGGAATCAGATTGGGTCCAGAGCAACCAGACGGTAATGGAATTCACGGAAAACTGGGCAGACTGCTATGGGACAACCGAGGGTAGAACTGATTCCAGAAGATTTTACGATTTTAATGTCCTGGCTCAAGAGTGCGCAAATCTAATCAATCCTGGGTTGGTAGCGAGCGAAAATCATATTCGTACACCCATGAAAATTCGCTTTAAAGATAATGTGCAGCCCAGGGCCAGGGCGGAAACAGTTGGTGATCCTGATCCTGATCTCTCGGTGCAGCTGGACAAACTGAAGATTTTCTCAACAGAATTTCCTCAAGTGAATCCTCACAGCCAGCGGGACAGTGCGGGGGAGGTTTCGATATTAAAGAATTCGTTATTGCAAAGTGTGGAAAACACATCGAAGGCTCCGGGATGTGGGTGGGTCCAGGCAAGTAACCAGACGGCAATGAGATTCCCGGAAAACTGGGTGAAAAGCGATGTGATGGGCAATGGAAAAAGCGTTTCCAGTAATCCCTACAATTTCAATACACTGACTCAAGAGTGCGAAAATCTAAATAACGGAAATCGCTCTTCCGATAATGTAAACGTCAATGAACTTTCCTGCTATTTCGACGACATTCTACATATTCCCAAGAAAATAACGGAATGGGCTGATAGAATGTACACGTGAAGGTGCATATGCTACGCCGATGTAGGTAGGGTGTCTTCTGTGTTAGCAAAGGCGGCATGGCATGAATAATTCTTAGTGTTACTCAATGATAAAATACACTAGATAATTATATTTCAGTACCAATATAACCAAATTATAATATTTATGTAAATGCATAAACATCAGCGCATGTCATATTTGGTAACCCTACCTGTTATTGTTATGCCATGCATAAAAACAGCAGTCGATATATCGATTACTTCTGTGGCTCTGCGATATTCCATCTCAGTTGCAGCTGTTCCATTTTTTTGTTGACGTTGTATATACGCGTAAATTTCATTATTATTAACTTAAATAGTTTAACTTTAGTATAAGACTAGTAGAAAAAAGAGAAAGAGCACCATGTCGGCGGTGGCCTATGAGCTGCTGTCCACAACGGCTGTGATCAGCACCGTATTTCAGTTTCTGTCCGGCGCGTAAGTATTAATGTACATACATACATATGTACAGGTATGTTTTGAAGCAATTAAGATCTAACGATTTATTTTCATGTAGCATGATATGTCGCAAGTACATACAGAAGAAGAGCACTGGCGACTCTTCCGGCGTTCCATTCATATGCGGCTTCTTATCGTAAGTACAAACTGTCGACGTTGCCTGCCATCCTATGACTGGCTCGACATCCCACGATAAATATGTACATATGAATTGGTTGCGGTTAGCGTGTACTTCTCGTACTCGGTACAAGAGTAGATTGTGTTCGTGCTGAGGCTGTAACACGTCAAGGGATACCATACGATACGATACCCATTATCTACTTTTGCATCGCTGGCACCTGGTGAACGTTTTCGCGCCTTTACACATTTAAATAAATAAACTTTGTGTTCACAGCTGTAGCTTCTGGCTGCGATACGGCGTTCTAACCGAAGAGCAGAGCATTGTTTTGGTCAACGTAATTGGATCAACGCTCTTTCTGATCTACACGCTGATCTTCTATGTGTTCACCGTCAATAAACGTGCCTTCGTCAAGCAGTTTTCATTCGTACTGATTGTACTAGTTGCAGTCATCATATTCACCAATCGGCTGGAAGACCAGCGCGACCAAATGATACACATTACAGGTATATGAGCACGTTCGGTCGAAGGCATATCTCATTGATTACATTACATTACTCTAATAAAATCATCTGTGTTTTCCAGGAATTTTCTGCTGTATTGTCACCGTGTGTTTCTTTGCCGCCCCCCTGGCCAGTCTGCTGCACGTGATTCGGTCGAAAAACACCGAGAGCCTGCCACTGCCCCTCATTGCCACATCCTTTTTGGTGAGCCTGCAGTGGCTGATCTACGGCATTCTAATATCGGACTCGTTTATCCAGGTGCCTAGTTTCCGCTTGCTCCTTCCCAAGACATAATTTTTAATATACACACTACTTTATTCCAGATACCAAACTTTCTGGGCTGCCTATTGTCCATGCTGCAGCTGAGTTTGTTTGTGGTGTACCCGCCACGCACCTACTCTGGGCAGGGGTATAAACTAGTCGAGCAGGCTGTGCCATTTTAGAGACTATTTGGATGTGGGATATGTGTATATTCGAATATACGGAAAGTATTGCGGACGGATATGCTGCTTGCTTATTTACTACAGACATACGTAATAGTGATTGTATATTTTAAAGTATTTATTAAATTATTTGTCTCAAATGTGTGTGTACTTACATCACTGTGCTGATTTGTGGCGCCCATCGCAATTCATCCTGTATATTATGTCCTTGCTTAAACAATAAAACGCTGTAATGTTTTCGAAACAAGTTATATGTTTTATTGCGCTATAATTCAATACTCGATACCTGACACTCCCGATCTAGAGCCCAGATTTAATTGGGGAAAACATCCTTGATACTGTAAATTGACTAAATCCATGATTTTCCCCGAAGGCGACGAGGCGTAGTACGCCCGGATCAGATGAAAAAATACGATTTTATTAAAAAGGAGGATGTGAATTGATTTCAAGGGATCCGGCACATTCTCCCGGTTGAGCGGTAAGTTCTTGAACTATTCTCATTTAGTTGCAGCAGTTGCTGTCGATCTTAGGTGAACATCCACCAGGGAAAATTTAGTTCAAGAAATCGCCGGTGGTACATGTGGGGGTGCCACTGTGCAACCAAAAAGAAACTACAACAACTAATTGTGTTATACAAAAATTTTGGACTTCAGAACATCAAGGATATATAGCCATAATAACTCTATTCATAAATATAGTCCCTATATCGCTATAATTAAATACAAAAGTATTAATTGCTTGTGTATCTCTAAGATACAGAATTATCTTACAGTATGAATCAGTGAATGAAAGAATGATACTTCATATTGTGAATATTACACTCGACAAAATTGAACTTTTTATTTAGGCTGTGAACCAAAATGACTTTTTCTGATAGATTTCCGGATTTCAAAATTTTTGTAGTACTTTATTATTTTTTTTATTTTGTAATTTTTTTTTAAAGAATTTAAAAAATCTGGTATTTTTTTCATGGTTTTTTCAGAGGTTGTGCTTCTATTTTTCACATAACTTAAGTATCTTAAATTTGGTTGCATAGACCTTTGCAGTTCTGAAAAGCTAACAAATGCAACTATAAATCGTGCTCAGACACTTTTTATCTGCAGCTTAACGCCTGAAAGATATTAAGCTTTCAAATTCAAATTTTATTATTTTCTGCGGTATTTTTTTTCGAAATTTTTTAAAAAACTCGGGAAAAGTCGAAAAAAAAATTATTGGCCAACATTTTTGGTTTTAGATAGACGCATTAATTAGGCGTCGTTTAAGGTATTGCTCATTAGAATCTATGGATAAACAGTCAACTTGCAGCCGTTTGACCAAAACAACTCAAAAACTGCATAAGATATAAGATACTTCATTTATGTGAAAAATAGAAGAACTACCTCTGAAAAAAACAAAAAAAAAATACCGGAATTTTAAAAATTATTAAAATAAAAGCTACACCACAAAAAAACCATAATTCTTTAGAAAATTTTTAACCCCGAAATCTATAAGAATCTATATTTTGGGCCAGAGCCTAATTATAGTGTTGACTAGTGTTATTAATAATTTTAAAAATCATCAATGGATATTTTTGTGGTACTCAGCGGACTTGTCTCCTTCAGTTTCTCGAACGTCGCCTGTCTTTTTGGGATCTTCACAAATTTCTGCCTAGGCTTCCATAAGTCAGTTAGTGGCGAAGCAACTAAAGCAAAATTATCAATACAATTTCGGTACCATCCTACCATCCCCAGGAAACCCTGCAGGGATTTCTGACTCTTGGGCAGCGGACAATCTTTCATGGCCGATATTTTCTCTGGGTCAATACGAATGACGCTATTCCCCACATTATGGCCCACATTCCCCACATTATGGCCCACTGTGAGTGTGAGTGCTGTCTTATCGTGCGAGCTTGGCTCTACTTGCCAATATGCGTCTTTCAAGTCTAATAGCCTTTTTACACTGGGCGCGTCTGCTATCGATATCGGCATAGACGCAATCACTAACCATACAGTATATAGATGTGCCAGTTCATACAACGAAAGGGGCGCAAGCTGAGTGTTCTGTCCCGGCTCCCAGCGCTTCGGCTCTCTGAGGCTGAGACCCCGGGTCGTGACCGGCCGGGCGGAGGGGCGGAGAGACCGGGAGAGAGAAAATTAAGAGAGTGAAGTGAAGGGAGTTGGCCGCTGATGGTTTTTGTGTTTGAGGGCTGATGGGACCGGGCGGAACCCTCAACCACCACAATGGGCCCATGATTTTCCAGGGCAATATTTTTATCAATTGATTTCAACAAAATTGTCAGGGGGCAGGGAACGGCGGACCGAAGACAAGGGATGAGCATACGCCGCCGCCCCGACCCGAATGGCCGCCCACCCGAAGCGGGAGCCGGGACAGAACACCAGCTGCGCCCCTCGTATGAGGCACAAGTAGGTAGGAGGGGGGGACGGGGGGGAGGGGGGGGGGAAGAGCGGAGGAGGAAGGGGGGGGAGAAGACCGGCCCAAGGCAGGGGGGGAATTTATTATAATCAGTTCAAGTATTTTTTAATGACTTTATGTTTTTCACCTTTGCACAATCATACATTTAGCCAAATTGTGGGAGGGGGGGGAGAGCACGAAGAAGACACCACTCCCAGACCATACAGTATATAGATGTGCCAGTTCATACAACGAAAGGGGCGCAGCTGAGTTTGCAGGACGTTCCCAGACTTTGGTTTGGGAATGGCCGTTGGGCATGACGTCACACGAGCCGACTGGAGCAAGCATGCATGTGTTGTGTACGTGTACACTCCAAAATATATGATTGTATGCATGAATAATTTTTAGTGCCAAAACCGACTTTGTTGGTTTGTTTAGTAAACTGTTGTGGGCTTCTGGGGGGGGGGGGGGGGGGGGGGCGGGACCGTGGGGGGCGGGGCGCGGGGGGGGGGGAGTGGCTTAACCTATGTAAAAAAAACTGCGTCTTCGCCAAGACGCAAAGAAGCATGACGCAGCCCCAGTGTAAACGGCCTATTAGCCGAAAAGGTGTGGCAAAAATCGTATTCTGAGTGAGAAAATCGGATTATTGTCTTAAGAGATTTGAGCATTCAACATTCAACAATGACCATTTCTTAAGTGAGTAGCAAATTTAGCTTAATTTTTATGGAACCGATTCAGCCACGAATCATTTAAATTGTATAAGAACGATGGTTTTTTCCTTTTATACATTATGATGTTTATTTATTTATTGAAAGCGAATTACTGTCTATAAAACCAAACGTTTCAGTAAGTAAGAAGACATCGTCGCTTCCGTATGCAAAAAGCAACGAAATTATTATATGGAGCACAGACAACAACGCATAACAGAACTCCTGGAGCTCCATTTACATATAAACTATACAACTACAGAAAGACTTCTATTCCGATCTGACCGAGTAAACTCGAAATTCTCAGTCTTCTTATGAATAACCTCGCATAGATATGAGTATTCTTTGAAGCAATTTAGGTCATGCATAAACCAAGTTCCGCTGCTGAACTTGATGCCCAGGCAGTTTTCCGCACTGCCCGAGTCATTGGGTTCGGCAGTGGCCCACTTGAAGTAGGTCTGGATCTTGGAGTTTGCCAGCGAGATCCAGGCCCCGGACTTGATGCCAAAGCTAGAGAACCAAACCGCTTCGTCTGGACCAAAACCCAACTGATTGAGGTATTGCGATATGGCATTGAGCTCTTGCTCGCTGTCGATGGTAGCCAACTGCGTTCCTAGGTCCATGCAACTTCTGGCCGCATCCCACCAGTTGAACTGAAATTGGAGGACATCATTGCAGTGGACCAGTACACATCTGGAGCATGGAGTATGGCATTACCTTGCCGCGCTCCAACTTGAAGGCGCTGTTTCCCAAATGGACATAGTCCACCGAGCACTTCAGTTCCTGCGCCAGGAGGTCATTTTCGCAGTGAATTTCACTTTTTCGTTGGGAATGTCGACTATTTATGATTGAAAATTATCGAAAAAATACCGCACGGAAACGTGCGAAATAGGAACATCCCAGATGGATGGTGTAATAACTGGTAAATTTTCGGAACGGCAAAACCTTACGGACAATCCCCGAAATGGATGGTGCATGGTCGTCAGTGTGAAAAGGCTTTGAATCGGTGTTTCACATCTTTCAAAATGAATTTTATAGAATAGAGATATTGTTTGTAATTTCAGGCTCCCAGTCTACTCAGTCTCTGTTTGAAAAATATTAACGAAGTTTTGCAGCTCACGGGTACCAATAATAGGTATCAGAACCGGGATAAATGTATTTATAAAACACAAAACATAAGCATTATTAGGTCAAAATTATGTCAATCTAGGATAAAATGCAATGTTAATGTTTCTAAGCAGCTTGGAACAACAAATTTAAAATCAATTAAAGGAAATATGGTATTTAAAGTACATACGCATAGAGGAAACTTGGTTCACAAGCAACAATGACGTCACATTTCGTACACACTTACGTTGTATGCTTTGGCCGTTTTTGTTTGAACCTTATTAAGTAAACAATCCAATGAAAACGAGTTCTGAAAACTATCCAATCTTGTAGAAAATTTATTGAGGAATTGGATAAAAATATTTTTTTAGGGCTGAGAGGTCTAACTAGCTAGTAATATTAAACTGAATATCAAAATCATGGAATACGATTTCAATTAATAAAATAGAACGAACAGGGGGGTATTTAATATTTCCACGAAATGTATGTAATTTTAACCTATTTTACGCATTACAGGTGAAAGATGTCGGTGGTCATTTTTGTTTTGTAAGTGGTGTTAAGTGGGTTAAGTCTCATTTGATTGCCATGTAGAGATGGAGAAACATCGATGTTCGTGGAAATCGATTTTTTTCGATGTTTTCAAAAAAACATCGATGAAACATCGATGTTTTAAAAAATATAAGCAAATTTTTTGTTAATTGAAAAGATTTGGTTCATTTTATAACAAAATAAAAAGCTTTATTCGTAAAAGCAAAAAAAAAAAAATTTCAATGAGATCAAAATACAAAACTTATTCTATAATTTTAACAGAAAATGGTTTGGTTCTTATTGATAAACATAAGTTTATCTACGACATCAACTTTAATTCTGGTGCGACGGCCCGATATGATCTGTCCAGCCTTGCTGAAAGACCTTTCGGACTCGCACGATGTTGCCACACATCCACCGATGTTGCCTACACCAGCAGTTGAAAATCTGAAAACATCTAAATACAGTTAATAATTCAATTTATAAATATATTTTTACACGTACCTTCTGCGCTTCCTATACCTTACTTACCTTGGAAAAACATCGATAGTCGCCATTAAACATAGATGTTTCCAAAAAATTTAAAAACATCGATACATCGATGTTTCTCCATCTCTACTGGTGACGAATCTGAAATATACGTGTTTATTATTATAACTCGATCAACCTTCAAAATGATGCATGAACAAAGTCCTGAGCTGTACGAGGAGGTGAAGCTGCATCGCAATGCCCGCGAGCGGGAGAGGTACGACAACATGGCGGATTTGTACGCCATTATAAACACAATCCAGCAGCTGGAAAAGGCCTACATTCGGGACTGCATTACGCCGCAGGAGTACACGGCTGCGTGCTCCAAGTACTTGGTCCAGTACAAGGTTGCCTTCAAGCAGGTGCAGTGCGACGAGTTCCCCACAGTGGAGACGTTTGTCAAAAAGTTCCGTCTGGACTGTCCAGCAGCGCTCGAGCGCATACGGGAGGATCGCCCCATCACCATACGCGACGACAAGGGAAACACATCCAAGTGCATAGCCGAGATTGTCTCTCTGTTCATTACGATTATGGACAAGCTGCGTCTCCAGATCAACACCATGGACGCACTGCAGCCCGATGTGAAGGACCTGGCCGACAACATGAACCGCCTATCCCTCATTCCCGAGGACTTTGATGCCAAGCAAAAGGTGGACAAGTGGCTGGGAAGCTTGAACGAAATGCAGGCATCGGATGAGCTGACCGAGGGCCAAGTGCGCCAGTTCCTCTTCGACTTGGAGTCTGCCTATGCGGACTTCAACAAATTGTTGCACAGCCAGTAGTAATTGGCAGTTTTTCGTCTCTCTCAGTATCCAAATGTAATTTAAAATAGTTTATTATATTCCGCATTAAAACGTTTTATATATATATATATTCGTGTATAAAAGCTCTGTGGTCTTTATTCCATTCCAGATAAACAAAAATGGGTTAAAGATTTGCATTTGTTTGGATTTAATCGTATCTTCTTTTTTTTGTATTTAGTTTAAATATTAAGGTTATAATTATACATATAAGTTTAAACCGATTACAATAATTGTTGTTTGTTTTGTTTTGTTTCGCATTATCTTTATCATCCACGTAATGTTTGTTGTTTTGTTTTAGTTCTCTTTAATATATATACTCGTAGTTTTTAATTTACTCTTCTGCTGTTCTGCTTTCTGTTCGGTTTCTGCTCTGTTCTGTTTCCTCTTACGCACCTAATCTGATCTGTTGATCTGTTACATCGCTTTACGCCTTTAATAATTAATAATTGTTACTCTTTATCTTTGTAGATTTATTTGTATGCAATGTGAAAATGGTACTTGGTATATTTATGCGGATGTTGCTGTATGTTTCTTGTTTGTATGTGTATGTGGCATTCATGCGTGTACGCGTCCATGAGAGGAGGAGAAGCATCCTCCCTGCACCGCACTGCCTTTTCCTAACTCTGTGCTCCTGTCTAGGGTATGGATGCTGGTTGGGGGCGGGGGCATGGGCATGGGTATGCTGAAGGAGGAGGCGTGGCCTTTTACGGTGCGCTCGTAGTAAAAACGTTTCTTATTAAGTAAAGTATGATCGCTTATCTTCGTATATTAGATAGTCATCGGCCGATGAAGGCGACAGCTCCTCGCTCGCCTCTTCAACGGCGTGTGGTTGTGTGTGTGTTTTGGGGTGGGAATTGGATAGGGCTTCAGGCTGCTATGGTTGTGACTGCTCCTGGAACAGCATTAATAGCGGACTGGGAGTGGTGGCTAATGCTGTGGTTGTGTAGGCGTCGTCTGTGGCGACTCCTGTTGCTGCGGCGGCGGCTTCTGTAGTGGTCACTGTTGCGGCTGTCGTCGTATTGTCTGTAACGGACAACGCTTCCGGATTGCTGATACTGTAGTTGTAGCTGTGGTTGTTCTTGTAAACGTGTATGGGCGTGGTTCGAAGGCTATAGAATTCGCTCGCTAGGCAGGCGGCAGGCTGCAGAGCGATCTGCCAGATTGCGTTCTCCGGAAGCTAGTTCTGTCCGGTCCAGTACGAGGGCGAGTAACCCTGCTTTCCGGCCGACTTGGACTGGCTGCTCGACTGCTGGCGCTGGCCGGCGCTGTTCGAGTCCTGCAACAGAATGGGAGGGTCACTAATTAGGCAAAAACAAAAAAAAAACAACCAGACTTTGAATCCCCTGTTCCCAATAGAACAGTGCTCTCCCTCTTCCGGTCTCCACTTAGCCATCGTTACACAAATGTTAACATACATATAAAGTACATACACATATAGTAGGTATATCACTTATTTATACAGCAGATATGGTATGATATGGTCATGACTCATGAGTGATGATTCTGATTAAAGTAGGGCCTTTCGATAAATGATTTCCTCTGATTACATTTTGTTTGTGTCTCAGCTACGATTTGGCGTCGTTTCTATGAAGGAGGATTCATGCAAACTACAGACTAAATGAACCGATGTGTGGATGGAGTCGAGAGATTATTATTGGCATGCTTGGGCGTGTAGGATGGTATGGATCGAATGGGGGGTTAGATACGAGTTGAGTTGTGCGTGTTTACCAGAAATTAAGCAACTTTTACACATGATTTACAACAAAGGAACTTACCCGGCGGGATGAGCTATGAATCCTGCCGTCCATCTAGTTGTCCCATAAAAAAATCAAAAGAAATTATAAAGAAAGGTCATACAATAGAACAATTTCATGCATTTTAGAATTCTCCCAATCTCTCCAACCTAATGGATGTGGCGTTACGGCTGTACATATTTCTCAATTCCGTGTTCTATTGATGGGATGGGAGTCTACACTCCGCTGAGACTAATACCGATAAATTTTTCATCAAAATATAAATTACCAAAATCAGAAAATGCATGAAATGTGTTTGGGTTAGTCACGAATACATGATTACAGAAAAAGATAATGGGGGAAAACAAATGATCGATTAAGCGAAAATTAAGAAAATGTTTAATGTACAGACGTGGGTGGATGCATATAAGTATTACAAAGTGGTAGTGGGGTGTTGGTTAGTCTCTTGGGTTTACAACACTTTTCAATGTTTGCTTATTCTGTTGTTATGGCTTCCGTTTTACAAAGGGAAACGTGCGGAATAAACTATGTATGTTGTCATCTAAAAATAAAGCCAAACCAATCGGAAAGGGTCTACGAGAGTGTGTGTGAGTGCCGCATAGAGAGTGTCGTGTAGATTAACGTAAAGCAAGTGTAAACTCAAGCAAATGGATGGTTTATTGTGTTTGATTCGTGCGTTATGCTGAGCGAATGATGATGGGCTGTATTTGGTCTAGTGCTCAATGGCGGTAGGCTGGGCTTGGCTGGGCTCTATTTCCCCTTGTGTTCCTAACAGTTGGAAATTAATGATTTTCCACTGACGTTATCTTGAAGCTAGTCGGACTGTTCTGGCTCCTCAACATAGCAGTTGCATTCTTGATCGTAGTATTCGCTATCTGTTTGAAAGCCATCACCGACATAGCAAGGATCCAGCCAAATCTGATCTTGATTGAATTCGCCAGGTGTCCCAATCTCAAGGAATTGATTCTCGCCGCCTCGTACCACAATCACTTGTTGCATTTCGGACCCTACCTGGTGTATGGGCTGATGTATCATATTGTGGTGTCCGGCTGCGGGCATCGGCAAGTACATGCCGTACGGCTGGGCCGAGGTGCCGCCCGCTGTCTGCGTGTTGGCCATGTTGAATGGTGGCGGTGTGCCCGAATGGAAACTCTGCTTCTCATACGACTGTAAGGGGA